CGCGATCAGCCTTTCCTTATGAGCGTCTAGTGCTGAGTAAGTTAAAATAACAGCACCAACCATATGCGAAATCCGCAATACCGGCACTAGTCGCAACATCAGCACCACTTCAGCACGGAATTTATGTGTACCACGATATTTATCTTACCATTTATTTTTCCTTCTATTCCTCAATCCGCAGTTAGCTTATCGAGAAAGTCCGCCCCACTCCAACCCCGTCTCCATGCCACCCACCTTAAGCAGAGATCGTCGATTGCTCAGCCACGAACCGCGGTAAGGGGGGGGTAGTGCAGGCCTCTTGCACATGTTGAGCGATGTGCACAAGGAAGAAGGGCGACGAATCAAAGATGATGGTAAGCCACGGATATGTTGTTTAACTTGGATGCTAACACTGACAATCATATCATGTGACTTTGCGGCATTCATCAGATTCGAGGTCATGCGCTATTCGTTATAACGCAATGAAGCCGAAGGTATCGCAGCTATGAGACCTTACTAATGTGCTAGGCTATCGATAGTGTTCCTACTCATAATGAATGATGTATTGCTGTGTGTGTAGGTGCTACATATGTCGTGTATTTGCTCATGACGATAGCTGTTACCTTCGTATCATAAGGAATGAAGCTACAGCTAATCACATACCCTCGCCTCCCTTCAGCAGTTGTTCAAGCGCGTTTGACAGGTCGTGCGAGAAGTAAGTGGCAGTTAACCACGATAAGCGTCCTTGCTGTGGCAAGAGTAGCAAACGTCTAGCATGGTCCGACTTCGAGGGGACAAGTGCAATGCTATTGTGTAGCAGCATGCGAGGGCTGTTTCGATGGCGCCGCCTACCATTCAACATACAATCATCGGATATGGTTGTATACCGGGTTTGTCGGTCAGGTTTCAACAACTACGTACATTTAGAAGTGTTATCGGTTCAATAAACACGAAATTTTCGGTCTCAAATGTTTATGCTTGTGGGCCTAATTGAATGCGTGTCAGGCACTGTAGTCGCAGTCGTGAGAAATGCAAGCACTATCAATGGATTGAAAACATCGTCCATTTCTTTGCAGCGACCTTTTCGTCGTAACAAATGGCGCCTGTTCAGCGGCGCCTTGAATCGTGCATATGATCGTTGTTCTTTTAATGGACATCCAATACCTTGATAGTCTATACGCATCGTCAATAATACTTTTGGCACCTGATGGCTCATATTATTCAGTCGCAGGGCCCTAAATAGCGTGGTTTACATTAATCTTGTGTCGAAGTGATGCTGTTGTTGCGACTGGTGCCAGATATGCGACTTTTGCATATGGTCGTTGCCGGTATAGCAGCTTACTCTCTAGTGTTTGCTTACATGATCCTATTCACCTCTAGCTGATTTTTAAGCCAATCACGTGCGTACTTCAATATAGCGACCGATCCAAAGAGTGACACTTATCATGCCAATTGACCTATTGAGGGGAAATGACCTATTGAGGGGGAACATGCGAGATCATACTGAGTACGTGAAAGATACACCTAACTGCGTTATTTAGTGACAGACAGACACCGATAGATTACCGTTTAGACTCCCTTATTAATACATAGTTGCCGCCAAATTTGATTAAATGGGGAAATTGTAAAATAGAAGTGTTAGGGAGGATAGATTTGAAGCGAAGGATGCCTCACGTATTTGCAAAAAGGACGATAGTGTGGCCGCACCGCCCGTCCCTCTTCGATATGCTGCTTCGATGCTTGCAGAGCTCAGAACTTCTGATTTGCAGCAGGAGCCTTGAAATGAGTTTTCAGGGATAATTCAGAGGATGCGGGATCAGGTGGAAAATCTTCAGCAAAAATCCCTCAAGCAACAAACCGCAAATCATTTTTTAGTGGTCCCCCGGCAGTTATTTTAAAATTGGTGTGGCAGAAAATTTTGCTGGTTATAATAATGAATATTAAGTGAGTTTTAATATTTGGCTGGGACTCAAAATGGAACCCAGCATTTTTATTAAGTAAGGGAGATTATTAACTTAGCGAATAATAGATTACAGAGGCTCTACCGTAGTTCCTTTAACTATGCAACGATTGCGCTTTGTGCAAAATTGGCGCATTTCCGCGCGACTACAATTGTCATATACACAGTTTTATTTCTGTCTGTTCCATGTCGCCATGCGATGAGTGCTTAAATTTGTCAGCACGATTTGGACGACCGATCGCTGGTGAATGCTAGTTTATCTATACGATGACGCAACCAGCAAAGCTTGTTCTGCTCCCGATGTTGAATCACGTTGGACAACTCTCTTCCGAATCGCCAGCCAGCTGCAATATCGGACAGCGACGAAACCCGTCGGGGAGATAATGGCGGTTGTTTGTTACATTAGCACCGAGCCAGACACTTCTTCTCTAGTGGTGCATCTGGGCACATTCGGGCACGTTGTGAGTGACTACGTGAAAATAGTTCGCTGGGTTTACCGCAGTGGCAACACGAGTTCTAGTCAAGTGTCCTCTGTCGCCTGAATTGAATTGCTCCGAGCGCGAGAGCAGCTCCGTCATTCGGTAGAGTGCTCACAAGAACCTAACCCTGGACTAGGTCAACGGACGGTTTCCACGGGCCCATTTAGGAGTGCCCCACCGAGGTACCCGATGCCTTGAGCCAGCAGAATGAGAAAGTTAGGAGTCTTAAGACTGTGCCATGGTAGACAGAACGAGATGGTTACCACACGATAGACATCTCACTAATGATAAGTAGCTTAAATAGACAGTCTTAGCCTCTCTCAAAATCTCGTGAGACTTGATGACAATTCTGAATATCGGTTACGTGCTCATGCCCTATACGATATCGGTGTGTGCTGCCATACAACATCATCTCCTCCTCGCTGGCTTAGTCTGCTTTGACTCGGCCCTTCAGTCATCACGGGGGACACTTCGCAGAGGGCACGTGGAATAGGATAGCTAGTACGGGGTGCAGACAGGGTGCTAAAGTCGCAGAAAACGCCGGGTACCAGATTGATCACCCCCAATGAGCCACCGGCACACCTGGACTAGGCTTATCTTAATCACGTTTTAGGCAAATTCGCTTCGTGGGGCTCGGGAGTCAAGCTCGGCGACCGGGCCGACAATTTAAAGGCTGATGTAGAAATAGTAGGTACTGGGTGGGGGGTGACAACCGCTGTTGCCGTACCCCTCACCTCGGGGTGTCTGAATTTGTTGCTCCCCTTTCGGTTGAACGCTGCGCTGCCTCCCGTAGCGCACGCAGCGGCAAGAAAGCCCCCGCTCTAATCTGGGCCTCACGTTAGGGATCTTCTGACCCCATAGTAAAGGGGCCGGTCGCCCGGCTCGTTGGAGGTCTTCGTCGCTTGGCCGTTGTTACCCGGAGGCACAAATTGGGAGGTGGATGAGACTTGATTCCTGCTGACCTTTTTGGTTCTTCAGGGTATAGGGCCTGATCAGTATCTTCCACCCCTGTGCAGGCGCCCAGTTTCAGTATTGCACAGGCGAAATAGCCATTAATCAAGCGCAATCGCTTCAACGGACACTCCTCGGGTTAGCGATGAAGTTGCTGTATTGCACACGGTGCAGCGTGTGAATTACAGTGTTGAGGTAAAGCGCATGAAAGTGTTCACGGTAATGTAAGAGCACGAACGACACAGCTGTAGTAACAAGAAGATGTCCAATGTGTGCACTGAGAACCCGACGTCGTTCGATATTTTAATCTTGCGGGTTCTCGCTGCGCCAACTGTACCTGGAGAGATAAAGACACCGTAGAGTACAGTGCAAGTAGAGTAGGGTAGTGTCCACTTTGTTCAGTTAAGCGTAACATTGTATCGAAAAGACCAACAAATTACGCAGCGATGAGGCTCCAGCGCCATTGCGGGTATGATCGAAGGCTATAAGTGCGAGCGCACGTCCAATTCAACGTCCAATATAATTCGTGGCATGAATACGTGCAAATGCTGCAAGTCCAATTGAGTAGACACTCATTGGAGCCGCAAAGTGTCCCGTTCATCGCTCTGCTTGACGGGCGCCGCCTTTTACCATTCGTTGCTGTACCTAGGGCCCGATCCTTAAGATTGCAGCCACTTTATATTTTGACAGACCTTACCTCTCCAGTCAGCGGGGCGCAAACCAAAACGTGCGGCAAGAGGTACGCCTTTCGGTGCGTGCTTGTCCAATATGGCGAAATCGCCACGTTTCTGCAGAGACGAGAGTCACCATAGTTGCCCGGACGGAGTGGAGCTGTCACTGCCTCTCCACATGGTACGCCGAACCTCAAGAAAGCAGCGTAGACCGCAAACAAAGTATTCAGTACTGTGTCCTCCGTCCATTTACCTCAGGCATGCGCAAGAGGCGAACCAAGACCGAAGATGTGGCAGCACGTCAGTGGTAACTGGCCACGAAGTGTGAGCGTGAGACGATCGGCCAGCCAAGGATAACCCATTTTATGTTCACAACTGTCATCAAACGCTAAATAATTTCGGTACAGAAGGTATGGGTTGGGCTGTCGCTCGGCGCGGTAGCGCAATGCAATACAAAACAAGGTCAGCCTTTTCTGCCGTTCTTGTCTGTCATAGTCAGTGCACGAAGACGAATCACACACTTACATCGCGACATTCATTGAGAATCAAATACACACAACTATGATGGTCACTTGGTAATACAAGCTTGCCGCCAGATTCTAGGCGCTCATGGAGGAAATCGGCTGGGGTCGGCCTATCATTACGCTCGTCTGGCGGGTGAAGATCCGGTAGACGCCGCTTTGAAAACCTTCGATCCGTTAAATTTCATCGCGCCATGTATCGCCAGCAATTCTTCTCTGCCCTATCTGAAGCCTGTACCTAGAAGAATGGGGCAGTTACGAATCAAGCCCATCCGTAGAGCCAATCCAACGAAGTCGACCCAGCCGAGCAGCGCGTCTGTAATTTTCACTTTCAGTTTTCCTCCAAGCAGCACACTACTACCCCGGGACAGCGGCCACATAAAGCCACTCTAGAGGACTCGGGAAGCTATCTCTACATTCTCGAACTCGTGACGCCAAGATGCAGGTGCCCATGGACAAGCAGATGTCGAGGCGTCTCGTTAAGATAACCAACTATGCGCTAGTACAAGTCCTTAAAGCCGCGGTCACGCGTCTACGTATCGTCGAGATGGAGCTAGGCGATCTGGAGCTTGCGCTGGAGGATGAACAGGAGGAGGTGGAGTCTTACAGCGACGACATCGACGACTGCCACGACCGTATTGAAGATATAAACGAGTTCGTGCGCGAACTTGAAGGAGGCACTGTGTGCTTAGTGAGCGACGTGGAGGCGGCACTGTTTGAAATGTCTGAGGAGCTCAACGAAGAGCAGAAGCTACTGAAGGTGTTGGGAGACGCGCGTGCGAGCCATGAGCAGCAGTTCGAGCAGCTGCACACGAAGTCGGCCACGCTTCAGCAAGAGCGCCTGATGCTGGTCAAGACTCGGTACCAGATCTGCTCTCTCTTTCGTCACAACGGCGTCTTTGACCTCGTGCGACGGCGACTGGCGGTGCTCGGCCCCAAGTTGCTTTAAACTTCAATAGTCGCGCTTCGTGACCTCATATTTAACGGCAAAAGTAGCACAGGATTACATCGCTATGCCATCCTTTGCCATACACGGAACAGACCTACTATAAGCCTTTTACTGGCGCTAGCGGTAGTGTCTTGTCTGGATAGCCCGATTTCGCTTAGCGGAGTTGGTCGCCAACATTTCCCTTTGCATGTCGTTTTGCAGCTGTGCGCTGCGTCTTCAAAGCGAAAAGTTTTTTGTAGCAGCCGCGGAATACAAATACAAAGACTTTGTCTATCTCTGCAAAAGCAGCCCTGAACCTCGTCGCATGGCCTCTCGAAAGTAATACGTTAGCCAGTCGCTTTGCCGTTGAAGGCTCTTTGTAAACACGTGGCAGTTAGACATTGACCCTTGAACCCTTGCACCGAAGAAGCCTGTATGTGTATTGCTGCTCAGGAGATACGCTACTTTTTTTAAACGAGTCCGAGCAGAGCGACCATATTACAAACTCGCGTGTAAAAGACACCGGTTCTGCGAATGACCAGGTGGCAGCCCTAAATTGGGGCCGAGATTAAAGAGACGATCGAGCAAGTCAACATCCAAGACCTGTAACACTGGCGGTCGCAAAGGAGGCGTCTCTGACAGTCAATTTGTCAGTGTTGGCCTGCTGTAGACCACGTACCACTCGAGCTGCTCGGTCGTGCAGTGGACCTGGATATATGACCGGCGCTATCAGGAAGCCGATACAGCACTTTAAGATAGAAATAGCGCGGCCTGGATAATGATAAATTAACATTTTCTCTATCTAGCTTAACAGACATCGATACGACAACACAAACGCTATGGTCGCTCAATGAAAGTGCCTCGTCACAGAAAGTCTAAGTCAAGCTTAAATAGCCGAATTCATTTAATACAATGTACACGCGTTAAAAACGCGTTCAGTAAGTAGGTCTGCAAAATACGAATGCAATGGCGGCACGAGGCGACCACCCAGTTAGCGGTCTTTGTAACGAGGTTACACGCGGTTATCGAACCGGTTGGATTGTGTGTCCACACCAAGTAAAGATCGGTGGATCTACGTGGTACAGTTTTGGTACCATACTTGCGGTAATACCGCACCTTATCGGGTAAGGAAGGATAAGGGATTAGACTTCTGTTATAGGATCGCAAAGTAGAAGTCAGTCCGACAAGGTATTAGGGTTTTATTGCCGTAGCTACAAGAATAAATATAATTCAGTTCCTCTTTTGAATCGTTGGTTGCTAGTGCCTAGTCAAGGCGTAGTTGTAACGGGGTGAACCGTTACATAACAATTTATAAGAAATTGTTAATAGAATATAACTATAAGAGTTATATTCTCAGAATATCGTCATAAGGACAAACATTCTGCAGCACTTACACTTACGAGTAGTTCCTAATTGGTTGATATAGGCCATTATTTTAACCAACGAAGACGCGCCACGACAGACGCACGCAATGAGTGGTGAGAAGATAACTGATTTACACATTTGTATTTAGACATAGTTAGATGAAGATAAATAGTGATTTATTGCAGACATTAACTATTATAAGTACAGTTCTACTTTTTACTTTAACCAAGTACTCGCTTCTTCCTATCGTCTTCCTCTGCACGTACTAGTGTACGTGAACTTCCGAGGCACCGCATTATTCTGTCATCAGAATAAGTAGCTTGTACTGTCACCAGTACAAGCTTCAGGGTGCCGCGAAACTTCACGTACACTAGTACGTGCAGAGGAAGCTAAGCTACTTGAACGACTCGATCAAGAAAGGTAAAAAGAGAACAGTATTTAATACAGTTAAGCTATCAACATAACTTTAATCTTTTTCTAGCTATATTAAACTACGTCGTCGTATGACGACAACCTGCTCACCACTCATTGCGCGCGTCTAGCAGCGATTGGTGGTAATCTATGGTTGATATGTCTTATATCAACCAGTCTTGGAGCAGCGAATGAATATTGTCTAAAAGGGGATAATATTTCTTCAATGTTATCCATCCCGGATAATAATGGTAGGATATTGTCATACTAGACAATATTCCAATTGACACCGTTTGGTGTCAATTTCATGTAACAGGCTACTCCGTTACATCACCCCCCTTTTTAACCATCAATCACTCGTTTATTGAATTAGAATTGATTGGGACAGGGTGACCACCGTTGGATCACCCTGGGAAAGGGAGCACTTGTTGGTCAAACTCCATTCATTTGCCAATCCAACGCATGGTTGCGAAATCCAAGCGAGTTGCTACTGCATCAGCAAGAAGAGCGGCTGCACGCATGCGTGCGTCCGCGGAAAGTGCCTCTCACGCCTCAGCAGCAGGCGATTCGTCGCCTGTTGTCGTGAATCCTCCATGTGGTGAGTCACCACGTGCGACAGGTACATCCGTTGCGTCTGCAGCGGGTTATTCGAGCGTATAAAGGCAAGGTCCTAACCATTAGACTAAAAGGGCTTTTTATTAAACAAAACAGTTAGAATATATTTTGTTTAATAAATAGTCCTTTTAGTCTAATGGTTAGGACCTTGCCTTTTCACGACATAGATACGAATTCAATTCTCGTAACAATTCAAAATTTGATTTTATTAACTTGGTTCTTTACAAAAAAGGTATATATCAATTTGAAAACAATTTATTTATTTTTTTTCCAATGGACATTAAAATAATTTTAATATTTTGTCGATTTAGAATTTAGAAAATGTTATTATTATTATTTAGAATTCATAAAGAATCTTATTTACAATTATTTTTTTATAGGACATCCTTTACGTTAAAATTTGTCTTTGTCCGAATAATCCCAGACAAAGGAAAAATTTAACGTAGAGGAAGTCCTTCAAAAAATAAAATGTAAATTAGATTCTTAATGAATTCTAAATAATAATAATAGCATTTTCTAAATTGATTATTTATATATTAAGACGAGTCTGAGATAGAGCTCACCTATTCTGGCGAGTCGGATGATGCATCCAAGTCGAAAGCGACACCTTATTCCTCCGGATTACCCGGGGCAAACTTTGCAAGAGCCAGGTTTACTGGCTCTGGTCAACGTGGCGGTATCATGTCCGAGATCTTCGGATCGAGTGCTCTTTCTGTCGAATCTCCGCCTCACGCAAGTATATAAACGATAAGACGCATGGGGATGGTGGTGATGCACCTAAACGTTACCAAGAGAGAAGCAACTCGAGATATCGAGGTGTCACTGGTGTCAGTGCTCACGCTGGCACCAATCAAGAGGTCAGGGACCGAAATGTACTGCGCCACGCTCATCAAGTGGAGTCTTCTTGGATGCCGTCATCCAGGAAATTGGACCGGTTGGTCGGCATGACTACCGATCGAGATCGGATCTTGTTGTTCGATTGTAGGGAGATTTGCCCACCTGATTCCAGCACGGAATCTATCCGTGCTGAGGAAGAATTCTTCACCGATGTGTTTTTCACGCATCGGTGGTACAATGGCAGCCGTGTTCGAGACGGTAAGGCCTTGGTGCAAGGATGTAATGCCCTCATCCATAACATCGAGTGCATTGGCCGTGAGGCCTGGCTCGGTAAACTTGATGCAGCTCGCATCAGGTTTGAGAAACGTGACCCAGTCGGGGCGCGATACAAGTTGCACCGAGTATGAAGAGAAGCAGAGTTAGCCTGTCTCTCGTGGGGTGATTCGTGTCCAGGTTGCCTGGACAACTCGAGTCGTGCCCTTAGGGAAGCCTACCTCCCTAATGATCCCTACTGGAGGGTGAGCATCTCTTCTGAGATGTCCGAAGGGATTGACACCTTGCAATCCCTGTACTCAATTCGGGGGGGTCGTTTTCCGACGGTCCTTCTTCGAACGCAGCGGGTGGGTCTCGTCATAATGCTCGACGAGACCAAGAACATCAACAATCAGCTGGGCACGAGGCTCCCAGCTGTCTCACGCCGGTGGATAGCCACGCACGCGGACGAGATAGCTCGTCCGAACGCTTCTACGTCGCTGTAGTTCAAAATACGCTCCCCTAGGAAGCGTTGACCACCGCCAGAATCCACCTAAGGATGTGGTGGTGGTGGGAACACCTGATCCGGCCCCAGGGTCGGATCAAGTTGATGTTTAAGAGCTGAACCGTGTAATGGAACAGTTACACGATGAACTGGATCATGTACGAACTTGGCGTTACGAGCTCCATGACCTTCTAAGGGATAATTGCAATTTTTTAGCGCAAGATCGTTCGAACGATCGTGCCGCGTTTGCGTTTGCGCAACTTGAGAAAGAACATTCGATTCGTTCTCTTCGTGACGAGCTGGCTGTAGCTCGTCGAGACATCGCTGAGATGCGTGAACAGGTCGCTGCGCTAGTCGACCAGACTGGATCGTTGAAACGGGACCACTCGAAGGTGGTCTCGGCTCTCGACCGCGGATGTGTTCTTCGCATCTCGAAACGGACTCGTACTGATAGTAAGGAAGGAGACGATCCACGTAAAACGTAGGTTGCGTACGCATCTTACGGGGCAGTTCAATCGTGTATGCGTTGCCCATTCGGCGCAACACACGGAATGGACCGATGTACCTGGGCAGTAGTTTACTGCTGCCCACGTTTGTCATTGCGTGTTTCGGTAAGTTTACTATAGACAGTAAAACTAGGTCTCCTATATCAAATGAATGAAAGAACATTTGCTCTTCCATGTTTGCCTGCGTTTCTTTTCAGTCTGTCTACTGCATCTGCAAAAGAGCCTTTAACGAAGCGGACAACCGCTTCCCGAGTCAGCAAAAATTCCTCTGCTGATTCATCCTTGTCAACAGCAGTGCGCTTCGTGTGCACTGCTGAAAGAACGTTGTCTTCACAAGTGAGGGCGTCATCGTCCTCAATGTCGCAGTCGTTGGCGATGCTGATTATATTTACCAGCATCGTCATCATCATCATCATCGACGTCGATCGTATCGACATCGGCATACACCACGTCGACACCATTGTCGACGGGTGATGAGCAAGAACCAGATCGGGTTTTGTACGAGCGAGTCCACCCCCCCCCTTTAAACTAGAGTCACACTCTAAGAAGACGGGCAAACGTGGATGGCGTAGTCCATTCACGAAGAACGGTGTATGCGTTGTTGACGTGTGCACCGAGTTGTTGATGGAGGATTCCGCCATCGGCAAGAATTCACTCCAACTCGTAAACGAGTGGACATACCCTCGAAGTATCATTTCGAGGACACGGTTGACGCTCTTCCCATCTTACCATCTGTTTTTGGATGATCATAAGTCGACATCTTCAAACGTGTTCCAAGTGAACGGAACACGGATTTCTAATACTCCGCTGTGAACCAGGGGTCCCTATCGGACACGAGTTCACGGGGTAATCCGTGAAGTCGGAAGATAGTATCGATGAAGACACAGCACAGCCCAGGGCTGTGATTGACTCCGGTACAGCAACAAGATGTACCATCTTACTAAACCGATCAACAAACACAAGAATGCCCGCATTATTATAAACGTCATTGATAAACCCAAAGACGAAGTCCATCGATACGGACTGCCAACACTCTGCCGGAATCGGAAGAGGCTGTACGGGTGCGCGGGATGAAGGACTAGGCTTCACCCGTTGACAAACTTTGCAAGCGCGAATTTATTTGCGCACAAACTCATACTGGTGGGGCCAGTAGAAGGAGTCACGACTCAAATGAGGTAAGTCTCTTCTCTACCGCGATGCCCCTATGTCGGGGCATCGTGACACTCATGCATGGTGCGAAATCGCAAATCATTATGAGCAGGAACGACGACACGAGGTGTGTCGCCGTAGACTGCTGTATAGTACAGCTGTCCATCACGAACGAATACCGTTCGGTTAAAGAGCGGTATTGAGATGACAAGCTTTTCAAGCTTGACTGCATGGATTAGACACGTAATCCATCAATCGCAGAAGAGACTATTCTTCTGCGTATGCTCTTCGCACATCGTCGAGCAGATTCGACGACGGAAGACTCAGTGTTAGTGTCGAGACAGTGGGATCACCCCCACTGTTAGGTAGCGCAGTCGGCTAAAAAATGGGCTGACGCAAAAGAGCATCAGCGACGACTCGAATTCGTCCTGGTTTATACTCGACGGAGAGTTGTACTCCGCGAAGAAAGATAGCCACCTCGCCATTCGTTGCGAGAGTTGTGGACTCTTTACGGCCGTGCGTAACGACGCATTGTCGGTGTAAACGACGAAGGGCCTATCTCCTAAGAGATATACCCGAAACTTAGTCAGTGCGTATTTAATGGCAAGGAGTTCTTGTCATGCACCGGGTAATTACTCTCGGTGCTTGCAGCTGACGCGATTGATAACAGACGACGCGCTCAACGCCGTCTGAGTCGTATTGCATTAACGCGCAGCCGATTGCAAAATCGCTGGCAACACAGATCACATGGAAATGTGGCGAAGTGGCGATCGCTCATTTCCTGAGACAATCCCGATTCTCCACTGGTACCCGGACGACTTACTGACGGAGGGGGTACTCCGATTTCGTGTTCCGTATGTTCTTGCTCAACTTGTGTACCCGTCGGTGGGGCGGGTTCTGCTCTTCTTGGTGGACTTGAGCTGAAGCTGAACTTGACCGTCTTAGGGATGGGTGTTGATCGGGTGGAAATACTTCACCCGGTCAACGTAGGTGTGCATCGCGTGGAAATTCTTCACTTGATCGCTTGTAACTTAGGCGATCTCCCAGAGTCGCCTTTGCCAGGGGTGATGCTTGATACGCGAGCCTTCTGACCACTTGAGCTGTCTCGAGATCTTGAATCTGAACCGTAAGGGTTAATGCGTCCTATCGCAGTTGAGGGGGGGGGTGCGAATTGACCTTCCGCCTGGCCAAACAATCCAAGGGCGAAGTTCACTTGAGACGCGGGTGACTCTCTATTCAACGGGAGGCCAAATATCCTGCCCGGGAGAAGTCGACGCGTGTCTTTCGTAGCAAATTCAATTCTGTTTGATGTCAACCAACCAGACCTAAAACTTAGAACTATGCCTATCTGTTCGCTAGTTCGGCTGTCTATGTCATTCACCTCTTACATCCTGTGGTCCACAGCAGATAATACATAGTGGATTGTCCCATACCGGATCGCGGAGTACCGGATTGCGGTATGTAATCCACGGCGGGTACGTGATCTACCTCGATCATCATGACACACTCCGCTTGAACATTACCCCTTCGTGACCGTTAAGTGGGTTACTCTGTATAATTTCCACAATCATTTCCTGTCACTCAGCCTTGTGACACCATCATCCGTGCCAACGAGCCCATCTCCATACGCGCTCCACCGTTTAAACTGACTTTCGTACTTATGGCGGCTCGCGCGATCCACACTTTCGTCATTCTTCCTTCGCGCTTCTCCACAATCGTCCCCTGCACCGACGCTCGATATACAGTGTCGATGGACGGTGCACCCACAACGCCCATGGCTCCTGCATCACCTGCACCTCCCACATTGGAGGCCGATAGCTCGATTCCGCCTCTTACTCCGCCGCCGGGTTACTCGTTAGAAGGCCAGTTGCGTTGCCGTCATCTCTATTGAGCGCTGCATCCTTGTTGAATTGTGATACTTTGACTGCGGGGATCGCAGCGCTCTACGGTCAACTGGATCTTCATGCCGCGGTTGTTGCCGACCACCAATCGTTGGAGGAGTGATGTCGGGACCAGATTCTGCAGATCGACCGACTGCAAACGCAGTTGCAATCGTACGTCGAGATCGCCCCGCGCTTGGCAACCTATGTCCAACAGCGTTTTATCGGCCTCTGGACGGATCGCCAAGACATGATCGAGAGGTTGCACGGGTTCGAGACGGAGCTGGCGCGGCGCTTGGGTCAAGACCACGTGTTCCGAGAGCTCAAGACGGCTCTCTCGGAAGCCGAAAAGAAGTTCGAACAAGTAGAGGATCTGCGCACTCGTGAATTGCCCGCCGCCCAGCAGCAAGTAGAAGCGATGACTTTGCGCCTGGCTGCTGCGAAACATAATTTGGGCGGCGATCTCCAAGCTGCAACATCCAAGACATCCAAGTACAAGAAACTCTTCCACAGAGTTGACAAGAAGCTTGACACGACCAGAATGGAGTTGAAAAACATGACGAAGAGCCATCAAGACTGCCTCCGTGAACAAGGGATCGTAGAGGTGGAGCTGCAACGGATGCGATCAGACCTCGCAGACCGGAACGCCCAGATGGATCGTCTGCGCAATCAAGCATTAAACTGGGAACAGCAGTGTCTCTAGTTCGTTCGCGATCGCGACACGATCCGGACTCATCTGGCTGACTTGGCTCCTGGATCACTCCACCTTCCCTTAAATGTACCGTCCACGGCCTCAGCTACCGCAACAACCGGCAAGCGATCTAGGTTTACGGATCTCGGTCTCCCGATCAAGCATCCCCGCAATGCGAAGCTGACGCAGGCCGGAACAGAATCGGTGGATACCTCTAAGGCCAAGTCAGCCAGCGAGTCTCCGCGATCTACTGGACCAGTGCGATCTGCCATATCTTCCGGATCTGATAAAATACCACGCGTCTATACGCGATCCTCCAGATCAACTCGCTCGGACGGGTCCACAGCTACGTCAGGATCAGCACGGAATCCAACAACTCAAGGCACCGCGGGTAGAAAACGATTTGCCTACAAACAGGAAGTAAACGGGCCCAGAAGCTTCCGGCCAGCGTTCCATCGCTCTCCAATACTGACTCGTTTGAATCTTCTGAAGAACATATTCTGGCCGCCTTGTCTGGATTGCGCTCTTCGTTGCGACGCCGTGGATCATCGAGCAATTTCCCACCTTCGGCCGGATCGGTACCTGCCTCAATTCCAGTGGACCCCCCCCCACCCCAAGTCTGGATTTTCTCCACTTCCGAGTGAATCAGCACCATCTGCCAAGCCCCGAGTCGTGAAGGTATATATCTTTGCTGAAGCATTAAGCGACTCTGAAGGATCGGTCAGCATGACCGGCAGTCCGCAGGACGCCGAGAATGCCGTGCTTCCGCCCGCAAAATACGACCGTTTAGCTCCGACCCGGGTACCTCGCGCTGAACGGTTTCCCGGTAACGCGATCAGGTACCCTGGTCTAACCCCCACGAACACCCGTGGTCGGCCCGTTGTCTCAGCCTGACCTCCGTGGCGGAGCTGGACTTGGATGCCTTGTTCAAACACCTGACACGGCCGGCAGAGTACATCTTACCAGCTCCAAAGCTGCTCCGCCTGAATCTGTGTGGATTCCACGGCTGGTTACTTCGGCTCAAGTGTTAGCGTTGTACCAGCAAGATCCTTGGAACCAATACCATAGCCAAGTCACACCGATCTCGTTTCACGCGACTGGCTGGTTCGCGGAGTTGGCATCCGCGTACCGCGACTTCGAGACCCGGCATCGACAGGCTCTGTGAGAAGCAACCACGCCATTTATTTTCCGGCCGAGTAGCGCGATCGCGATCCGGAATTGGCCCGCATTTACCAGCAGCGCAAACAGCGGTCATCGCGATGCGGACCCCGATGGAAAACCGTATTGCGCTTTATCCTTCAGTAGATAATCGACGGACACTGCAATTTCGATCTGTTCTTGGATCCGTTCCTCATGCATCTCCCGTCACCGGTCGAGATGCGTCCATGGTACCCGGGTTTGGGCAGCTCTAAGAAAACCATCCCCAACCTGATCTCCGCGTTGGCGCGTTTGAATACAGCTGAGCCCTGGCGCAAGCAGTTTCGATCCTGCATCGAGGATCATTCAGGGTCGTCGATCGCTCTCGTGTCGAATAAATATTTTTTAAAATAGTTCATAGCGATCCGACAGTCCGTTTGAATCGGTCAATATGTATCCTTCTTTTTCTTCCTTGTTGATTATCACTTGACTCCATCTCATTTGCCTTTTCTAATTAATCACTACAATCGGGTTTAATTTCCTGGATCGCCACACACAACGCATCCCTTTGTTCCCATCTGTTACCTTCTTGCAGGCCACTCCCAATTTGACACATCGGTTGTTCATCTACCGCTGCTTCGTGTGATTGCATCACCTCGAAGCGATTCTTGCCGACTCAATCGCGATCGAGCTCTTGCAGCAAGGCCCCACAGTTCAAGTCGACCTCATCTTTCTAAGTCGGATCGACTGATCCCTTCCATTGCACCAAATACTGGTGCTGCACTCTGCCAAAACGGGTCCGTCTGCCCGATCGCACGTCCAATATCTTCTCGACTTCAACTTCATCTTCATCCAATGTGCGTTTCCAGCTATCTTCCGGCAGCAGGGACTCGTCAAAATTTACGCGATCCGCCTCTTCAATGTTCAGCAAGTTTTTTGGCCGATCCGGGAAGATTTTCAACCGCTTAAGCTTGGATATATGTACCTCCGGGAATAATTGATACGGTGAATCCGATATCTCCAACCGTACTGCGTGTCTCCCGCAAAGTTACCTAACCCGGAATGGCCCATGCCACATATGTGCCAGCTTTCGGGCGTATCCTTCTTTCACTCAATCCAAATTGAGCCACACTTGCGATCCAACTTCGATCTCATGTGACCCGTCCTCAGCGTTGTGTCGATCGGCCCGATCTTGGATCGCAATCCGTAGACGATCGTTAACGGCTTCTCTTGCGCTCTGGTAATGACGTTGCATATGATAGCGCCATTTTCTTGGATCTTGGTCCTGTCGTTTGGTGCTTCCCAAAGGCGAAGTCGCTTCCAGCGTCGATGGTGGGTCTTAACCATGGATCAGGCAGAATGGCGTTTCTCCACGTATGCGATCCTGTGCCATATTGATGGCGAACGTCAACATCTCAGCGTACTCGTCCCAATCCTTCTGATCCGTATCTGTAACGTACATCTTCAACGCCCTCGTCAAGGTCTGCACCATTCTTTCTGCTGTTCCATTCGCCTGGGGTCGGCATTCCATAGTAGCACGCTATTTCTGCCCCGAGATCCGGTTGAACACTCGGAAAAATTGGGCATGAAACCGGGCTCTCGATCATGGCGGATCGCTTCACTGGCTCCAAAATTTCGAAACACACACTCTTCGTAACTTTCGGCGATCGTTTGAGCAGTTCTGGAGGAGCTCGCCTTGGCGATTACGTACCCTGAGAATAGATCTACCCACAGCAACAACTCAGTGTTTCCCTTGAAAGATCGCGGCAACGATGGAATGTGATCCATAGCGATTATCTAAAACGGATAGGTGGCTTGGACATTCCCCGGCGATTCGCCGCGCAGGACAGGTTTACCTTTTCTCGTCGTGCAATTCACACATCCTCCCACAGAACGCTGGACACTCCGATAGAGTCCTCTCCAGTGGAACTTGGATTGGATTCGTTGGTGTGTTCTGCCGTTCCTTGGTGTCCGCGGTCCAAACTTGTATGATAATGATGTAGAAAATCTTGCTACAGTAGTTCCGGTACCACCAAACGAATCAATTCCACGCGGCTATCTGGATCTTCCGTTGATCGCGGGTAGAAAAAAAGTAGTCCGCTTTCGTCAACTTCATAATCGTGCGCGATCCGAGCACATAACTTTACTTTTTCAATACTCAACTTCGTTATGTCTCCGATCAGGAATTTCTTCAGGTTGGCGATCCAACTCTCTTCTTCCTGTGCTTGCATGATCCTCTCGATTCTGATCCTCTGAACAAATTCCTCTTGCACTACTTCAGGAGATCGTTGTCTCGTTACGGCTGACCTAGTAACGGCAGATATATTCACGACCCGATAGACACTTTTGGGTGTCAATAACTCGTCCAACCGGTTCAATGAATGTAAATTCTGACGATCTTGATCGGATACAGTCATCGCGCCTTTCCCTTGTTGTAAAGCGTTTCTTGCCAGTCGATCGACACTCTGATTCCAGTCCCTCTTCATGTGTAAAAACTCATGGATCGGCCACGATCGGAGTTTTTCCATAGCTTTGTGACGTAGCAGCTATAATCCGGGCGCCTTGCAGTCAATTTCTCCGCGCGTCTGCCGGATCACTAAGTTAGAATTGCCGCAAATGATGATGCGCCCCGCGCCTGACCGGCCAGGAGATCGAAACCTAGTAGCAGGCCACGATATTCGGCTTCGTTTACTGTCAGGTCTGTTGCGTATTTGGCTGCGATATTCACGATCTTCCATTCCGGGAGTATCCACACTATTGCACTATACGCCCCGCCTTTTCGTTTGGTTCGGGTCGACCCATCGAAACTGACCACCAAAAGACTTTCACCCTCCTCCACCATTGGTGGTGGCATACTTATGGTATGTTTCGGCTGTTTCATCGGGGCGATCGCGATCAACATCTCGTCAACACCTTCGCGCGGAGTAATGCTGGTGGCAAGCGTACCAATTATTTCATCTTTGTCCTTTTCACATTTCTTATATTGCCAGCGTCGAATTAGATAGCAACGCCGCCCATCTCCCCAGCCTCCCATGAAGATTGTACCAGCCAGGCCAACGTTAAATGACGTGTGAGTACCTTGATCTCTCGTGCAACCAACATAGTGTAGCCGATATTTAGGATGCGCAGCAGGGCTAAAACTTCTTTCTCCACCATTCCATAGTTAATCTCATTAGGTTTTAGCGTTCTTCTAGTGAACGTTACATGCCAGTATACTCCATCGTGTTCCTGTAGCAAAGCTGCGGATACTGCCCATTTGCTAGCATAGACCACGATCACTAAAGGGCGATCCGGATCAAAATGTTTAAGAATTGGAGTCTAAGCAATCTTATCCTTCAGCATAGTGAACGAAATCATTGCCTTCTCCCATCGACTTCTGTCTGTGCAGGTAGGATCACCCCCAGCAACACCGAAAAACGTTGGGTCGCCCCCTGTAACATTGTTACGGTTTGAATCGTGATGACCAAGACACTTCCTGTCGTCAGCTCTCTTCCCATTCTGTGTTGACGATTACGTCTCATCCAGACGTCGGATTTCGTGTAAGTCGGCTTCGCGTAATACGTATAGCACAGGTGCATATATCACAAAGTCTTCAATGAATCGGCTATAGTAATTCAAACTCCCCAAAAACGACTGCATCTACCGCAGCGTTCGGGGAAACGGAATGTTGACCAGCAATCCGAGATCTTTCGGGTGGGATTCCAATCCAGCGGGTGAAAACTTGATGACCGAGATAGTCCACCTTGCGTCGTCCCCAAAAACTTTTGGTCAGGCTGATCGACAAATACCGCTTATCGCATGCACGTAGCAATCTATCCAATCTTTCGTACAAATCGATCCACGATGTAGCTGGAATCAGTATGTCATCGATGTACAGTCTTCGAACTAGCAAAGATGGTGTCCGACTGGTGTCCGTCTCTCCTTCTGTGAAAACGTCGATCTGTTTGGACGATTCCTTAGAGAATGCGCCCGTATCAGCACCGATCTTTATATATCCATACAATGCATTGTCGATCAGGCGTTGGTTAATCTGTGGAGCGTTTTCGACCCAAACGGCATCCGTAGCCATTCATACAAGCCTGACGGCGTAATGAGTGCTGAAATCCTTCTTGCTCGTTCTTTCATCTCCACCACCCAAAATCCGCTTGTCATGTCCAGTGAGCATTACCACATCGCTTTGTCCATGTCTTGTAAAAGTTCATTGATCAGTGGCATTGGGTACACCATCAGCCTTGTCAGCTGATTTACCCGTCGATGGTCGATGCACAATCGAATGTCCTCTCCATTCTTTTTGATGATAACGACGATCGGCGAGGCCCACGGTGATGTGGAAGGTCGAATAATCTTGGCCGAGAGCAGTCCTTTAATCAAATCCGCTAATTTTTCTCGAAACTTGGGTGCTACTGGCCGTACTCTTTGCGCGATCGGGCTTGCTCCTCCCACGTCAATATCGCATATCGCCCCTCGTGCGGCTGGAGGGAGTGCATTTTCTTTACCAATAAGAAGGTGCTTGTTTCTCCAGATCAGTTGTCGTAACCATTCTTGGTCATCAGTCAGCGGTACATCTGGATCACCTACCTGAATATCGTCGATCGCAACTTCGGCAGTGGGCGTAATAATGTCGGGTAGTACAGCCATGTGTGCTAATCCACATCCTCAGCGTACCGCTTCCCACTTTCATGACTACAGGTAGAGACGTCCAATTCCCTCGCGATCCGGTCATTACTCGGATCAGGCTCATCGTCGATCGTCACACCTGGTGAAGATCCGGCCCCTTTCCTCGACTGATCCCCTGCTCCTTCGTTCGTCTTAAGTTCGTGAATCGTATGAATCACGGGCCTGACACTTGTCGATCGGTGATCCACTTGCCGATCGTCGATCGTGTCATGCGATCCGTCATGCTATCTATCGGAATCCCTATCCTTTTTGTCGCGACATCTGCCATTGGCCCCCGGGTGTTCGAACGCTTCCGCCCTTCTCCTCGCTCGTGTTAGCGACACGTGGCAGTGGGTACACACGTGGAATCACTTTCTCGTCTACGATCGGGCTGTACTTTAATACATTATTCCCCGTAGGCCGACTTAAAACTTTCTTTGGCGTAGGGTAGGTCGGGTGATCCACAAGCGGTCCCGCGTATGCGGTCGGCACTTCTTCTCTCTTTCAATCGTAGCTTCAAAGGCTAGTGTCTGCCACTCGTTGTACCGTCGCGATCCAAACGAGACGTAACCTGGGTATCGAGGTACCATGTAGGCAGCCATAATCCAGTCTAAAGCCGGTCCGTGGCCGAGAATTATTTCTTTGTCGCCGAGGTTTGTCAGCTGTAAATACTTGGTCCGACCTATTCCAGTGGCAACGGTGGGTCCCCATGTATGATCGCGCCACACCCAGAGGTTGGCGTTAGACTGGACGTTGCTGATCCTTATCTCCGCCGATCTACCGACGGGAAGCACCAAGTGCTGTTCTGGGGTCACGATCGGCTGCGTGGATAATCCGTACAGAGGTCTGCGTCCTGCTAGATGAATCCTCACTTCAAATGGCAATACCAGCGTCCCGTCAGCCAAATCCAGACGTATAATTGCGGGCACCATGAATTCCACACCCAGGATCACCTCCTGGCCAACTTGATCACCCACTTGCACGTCAAAATAGTATACCAGCGATCCATTTAGGGTGTTCTTGATCTTGGTACGTCCTTCGGTCATGTACGTATTTCCGCCTATCACCACACACTCTTGTTTCTGATTCTCGCAACGAAACATCCTACCTCACGAGCAAAGGCGGTTTCCACAATCGAGATCTCAGCTCCTGAGTCCGATAGCATTGTGGACTTTTCGTTGTTAACCTTCCCAATCACTTTAGCTTGTTCGAACCATTTTCTTGGTGTATGGTATTTCCAGTATCCCCTTGACTCGCCCGGCGCTAGGACAAGTTCCATATTGGTGGGCGATCGGGCGTACTCATCATGTCTTTAGACACTCGAAATGGAACGCAGACAGTTTGAAAAATCACATGTATTTTGCCGATTATCCTGCTTGTCCTCGCTTCCGTCGACTCCCTTCCTCTGCACAAAGGCATATACGCCAAGCTTAGAACGCTCGGCTCGTACCAGATTCCAACCTGGCGAGCGTCCTGATTTAGCATCTTCTCGACTTGTTCCGACAACCTCCCTGCATGCTTGGTAGGCACATACAACTGACGGATTATGTTGTAAAACTGTTCCATCGGGCACGTTCCTTCCTCGTGGGCGTCCTGCATACGGAACACATATAGTAGCATTTGTCCGCAGGATGCCCCTTACGTCTACACTTCTGACACGTAAGTCTTTTCCAACATCCGCGATCGTCATGTCTCTTCGAACCACAGTGCGTACACACTGTTTGAGGCCTTCCATGATCGTAGTGGCGATCGCGATCGACTTGCTCACTTCGAATGAGTGGGTGTCCCGGATCCTGAGCGCGATCAGTAGCGGTAGCTATGTACACATTGTGTCGATCCGGCTTCTGAGCGCGATCCGTAGTCGTGGCCATATACTCGTTGCGTCGATCCGAGTCGGAGTTCGATCCGCAAGAGTCTCTGTAGGACCCACTACTCTCGTTATCCACATGGATTGCTCTCACAGCTCGCGCTGGTTTTGCTGAAACTTAGGATGCCTGTGGCGCAACACGCTGTCAAAATTTGCTCGACCCCATAGAGGCATGGGCTTCTCGAACTTCCATGTTCTCACATTCTTGCAGCGTTTCTTCCAGATCACCTGCATCTCCAAGATGTAGCTCGTTAGCATTTTAGCCAGATCATGATCGTCCAGGGTACCAATGTAATGATCTACATGTTCCTTGCGAGTGGCGGGCGATCCATTTCGTATCGGGATCTTCACCTGGATCGCGGCCACGTTCAGACGGCACAAGTACTCCAACGGAGTCTCGTTCGATCGCTTACGCGCATGGTAATAGAGTCTCCCAACTGAAACACTATTCTTCCCTCCGTATTTTGACATGAAGCCTTCCAGGAGTGCCTTCCACGAAGTCCTCGTTGAGCGGCTAAGCTGGTTATACCAGTCACGCGCCGGTCCCGTAAGAAGATCGCTGAACACTAAGCACTTCTCCACTTCTGGCGCTTGATCGCGTAGGAACGCCGACTTCACCTTACTGATCTAGTTCCTGGCCCGTTCTTCGTTCTTCTCTCGGCCGGAGAATTCTTTCAGTTCGGTCATGGAAGCCATTCGAATCCTTTGGTTACTGAATCCGCCACTCTCTGCCGCTCCTGCCGTTGCCACCTGCGGTATTCTCTTGCCTCCTTGCTCCCGATGCTCATGACCATAGTCATGCGATCCGTTAGGACGCGATCCAACCGACACCATGTCAATGTCCGGCATGTGGATCTCCGGTTTGGGATGGCGATTAACTGATTGTACAGCGTTCATGTGAGCTTGTTCTAGCTCGTATTTCTTCATGGCTGCCCGAAAATAAGAATTCACTTGTTCTGACTCCACCATGTTCATAAACTGCGTTGCCGATGGCTTTCCAGCTTGCGCTTTTGCCGCATTCCGTTCAAATGTCTTCCGCAACAGATCCGCGCCCTTTGGTCCTAGCGACATCCGTTGGATCTCGAACGAATCATTCGAGTCCTCTTCCGATTCCGCTGAAGCGTATAGAGACGATCCAGTGTGCTCACATTTGGGGGAATCGTTTATCGGCGTGAGAACTTGATCCATCGCAATCCGCGGTGTGATCCGTTGATCCGAGGTGCCAATTGGCGGGGTCGGGTCGTCTCCGGGGTCACGTATGCCTAAAAGCGGAATCAACGTCTTAATCAGCGACTGTCCGGCAGCAATCGCTCGATCGTGGTTGCAGTCTAGTAGAGTTTGTGCGTTGAGCGTTCTCACCGTAAACCCCGCCTCCGTTAGCAGATTGATTAGACGCTGGAGCGCCTCCAACACGTTGGGGATTGGTTTGGGCGCTGTTGTAGGTCCGCGTAGCAATCCATTCAGCTTCAGCTTGATCGTCTTGAGTAATGGATTGCTCGACAGCAGCTTCTTCAGCTCTTTCAGGTGGTACTCCCCGCTGAGATCGTCGAATTGCCAATGTTCAAACTTTACTTCGCGATCCACTGACTTTGAGCCTTGATCTATCGTCTCCGTCTTGACCTGGCATCTGGATGGCTTGTTCTTGTAAACATCTCGGTCTTGTTTCGCCTCCACCGGCTTCTTAAAGTCTTCCAAACATCTTGTTTCTCTCTTCATCATCTCTGATGGTTCATCTAATATAAATGAAAATCGTTTGGGGATTCCCCTAGGACTTTTATCCTGCGGCTCGCGCTTTTCAGTGCGATCCGCGGTGGCCCCCGAAAGGGGCTTCAAGAGGGAGCTGGGGGGGTTTCTTCCAGATCGTGAATTCGATCTTCCTCTTTTATTTTCTCGTCAAAAAGCCCCTTCCAAAACTTTGAAGATCTGGAGATCCTTCATTTTCTTGTGTCTGCGACGATATCTCTTTCGCTGACGATTCTGTGGAGAAGCGCGAAGGAAGAATGGCGAAAGTGTGGATCGCGCGAGCCGCCATAAGTACGAAAGTCAGTTTAAACGGTGGAGCGCGTATGGAGATGGGCCCGTTGGCACGGATGATGGTGTCACACGTCTGAGTGACAGAAAATGACTGTGGAAATTATGCAGAGTAACCCACTTAACGGTCACGAAGGGGTAATGGTCAAGCGGAGTGTGTCATGATGATCGAGGTAGACTACGCAATCACCGTGGATCACATACCGCAATCCGGTACTCCGCGATCCGGTATGGGACAATCCACTATGTATTATCTGCTGTGGACCACAGGATGTAAGAGGTGAATGACATAGACAGCCGAACTAGCGAACAGATAGGCATAGTCCTAAGTTTTAGGTCTGGTTGGTTGACATCAAACAGAATTGAATTTGCTACGAAAGACACGCGTCGACTTCTCCCGGGCAGGATATTTGGCCTCCCGTTGAATAGAGAGTCACCCGCGTCTCAAGTGAACTTCGCCTTTGGATTGTTTGGCCAGGCGGAAGGTCAATTCGCACCCCCCCCCTCAACTGCGATAGGACGCATTAACCCTTACGGTTCAGATTCAAGATCTCGAGACAGCTCAAGTGGTCAGAAGGCTCGCGTATCAAGCATCACCCCTGGCAAAGGCGACTCTGGGAGATCGCCTAAGTTACAAGCGATCAAGTGAAGAATTTCCACGCGATGCACACCTACGTTGACCGGGTGAAGTATTTCCACCCACGCGATGCACACCTACGTTGACCGGGTGAAGTATTTCCACCCGATCAACACCCATCCCTAAGACGGTCAAGTTCAGCTATAGCTCAAGTCCACCAAGAAGAGCAGAACCCGCCCCACCGACGGGTACACAAGTTGAGCAAAAACATACGGAACACGGAACAGGGGTACCCCCTCCATTAATCAATCGTCCGGGCGCCAGTGGAGAGTCGGTATCGTCTCAGGAAATGAGCGATCGCCACTCCTCCACACAATCGCCTCCATGAATATGAGACAGGAGTGTCGCTCTCGAGCAACATATACTTTTTCGATTAGATGACGTCCTTGATGTCAGCAGCGACGCTCAAGATTTTGAGCAGAGCGCGAGACGTCGCATCGTTCACTCAAAAAACCCTAAAGGCCTTAACGGAGCAATTGAGGATGTACGGACAAACAAGCTCGGGGAAAACAATTACGATGCACGGGACGGAGGAATGCTGTACGGACCCGATCATGAGACGATTCGTACAATCTTTTGCAATTGGCAGACGAGGACATATCCCAGTAATTGCAGCGCGTGGCAATCGCGATTTTGTGGTACGTCTCTGTTTTGTAGATAAATGTACCGAAGTGGTCAAAGATTTACTGGCGTCAATCGGACAAGACGCGAACTTGAAGCTCCGGGAAGACTTAGAGAAGAATCCAAATTGTGTGTAAAGAGGACTTCACCAAAATTTATGAAGACACGGTGATGTGGCTGCGGACGTGCAATCAGAAAATTAATGTGGGTCGAACGGCCATGAACGACAAGAGTTCGCGCTCACACAGCGTCTTTCGTATCGTCGTTAAGAACAAGCAGGGGGACGTCTCAAGGAGACTTTTGTAAGAAGACGGGGGTAGAGAGGTACCCGTCTCTAGCTTAGATCTGTGGATCTAGCTGGCTTGGATAGCTTCGACCAATACATGCAGATGGCTGTTCGGCAGCAAGAAGCCGGCATCATCAAACTATCATTACTGACGCTGACCTGCGTAATTAAGTTTGGGCCAAATCGGGTGGAGGTGGACTATTGCGCCATTTCGGGACACTATTCTCACGCGGCTTCTACAAAAATTCACTCGGCGGTCCCACGCGCATGCTTATTATATTCTACGTGACCCCAAGCAAAGGTTTACAAAGAAACCAAGCTTGCATTGCAGTGTGTAGTCTGATAAAATAGTTTATCGCCTAGAGGCACCTAAAGTAACCGTATATCTGAACTTAACAAGGAGGATGCTGTTCAATTAATAGCCGATGTGGACAAAGCTGGATGCTTAATTCAGTTTTAAGTTTATAATTGGTGTTTAAAATTAGGGTGTAGGTGAAGACTGTAAAGTGTAAGAAATATCGTCTACAGCTGTTCAGAAGCCATGAAGATGGATGCAGCTACTCTTTCCGCATGAGCAGCGATAGGCTGGGCCTTACCGGGAAGTGAATCCGGATTTAAGGGTTATGGTCTAGGGTCTAGGGTTTAGGGTTTAGGATTTAGGGTTTAGGATTTAGGGTTTAGGGTTTAGGGTTTAGGGTTTAGGGTTTAGGGTTTAGGGTTTAGGGTTTAGGGTTTAGGGTTTAGGGTTTAGGGTTTAGGGTTTAGGGTTTAGGGTTTAGGGTTTAGGGTTTAGGGTTTAGGGTTTAGGGTTTAGGGTTTAGGGTTTAGGGTTTAGGGTTTAGGGTTTAGGGTTTAGGGTTTAGGGTTTAGGGTTTAGGTTTAGGGTTTAGGGTTTAGGGTTTAGGGTTTAGGGTTTAGGGTTTAGGGTTTAGGGTTTAGGGTTTAGGGTTTAGGGTTTAGGGTTTAGGGTTTAGGGTTTAGGGTTTAG